CTCTACAATTATAAAAACAGTGAGATAATGCAAAGTATCTTCTCAGACCATAATGTCCTAAAAATAGAAATTAACCACAAGAGGATAAAGCTCATAAAACCAGCCATATAGAAGCTAAATAACACCCTACCGACATAAATGGATTATATAGGAAATAAAGAATGACATTTTCAAAAAATTCCTTAAATAAAAATGAAAATACAATGTGCTGAAACCTCTGGATGCAGCTAAGGCAGTACTCAGAAGGCAGTTTATAGCAATAGGAAGACAAATAAAAAAGGAAGAAAGAAGCAAAATTGATGGTCTAACTCAACACCTTCATCAAACAGAAAAAGAATAACAATCTAACCCTGAAACTTCTAGAAAAAAGAAAATTATGAGAACATGAGCTGTATTCAATGAGAAAAAAATAATTGAAACCATCAACAAAACTAGTAGTCAGTTTTTCAAATGGATTAATAAAATTGAAAAACAGTTGGGAAACATAACAAAATTAAAAAAGAAGACCCATATAACTCGATAAAGGAATCATAGAGGAGGCATCACAATTGAACCAGAGGAAATTAAATCTATAATATCAGAAGATTATGAATAGGTATTTTCTGATAAATTTGAAAACCCAGAGGAATGGAATAATTCCTTGAAAGGCATGCCTTACGCAAATTGACACTGACAGATGTAGAAGAAATTGAGCAGGTCATAAGAAGTCTCAAAAAACCCCAAAAAGTTTTGGGCCAGATGGCTTCACAGTTGAATTCTATCAAACATTAGAGATATATCACTGATTGTATGTAAATTTTAAAAAAAAAATAGAAAAGGAAGGAACACTCCCAGAGACATTCTATGAAGCAAGCAAAATCCTAATACCAAAATATTAGCCAAGATATTACCAAAAAAGAAAAATACAGATCAATATTTATCATAAACCTAAATGCAAAATCCTCAACAAAATCCTGGCTAATAGAATCCAAAAGCACATCAAAAGTAATTCATCATGACAAAGTTGTATTTATAATAGGTACGCAAGTATGGTTTAACATAAGAAAATCAATCAATGTATTTTAACACATTAACAAAGCAAATAAAAAGAGCCATAATATCCTAACTATTGATGCAGAAATGACATTTGACAAAATCCAACACCATTTCCTGTTTAAGACTTTTAACAAAATAGGATTAAGAAGGAAATTTCCTCAACATAGTGAAAAGTATATATGCAAAACCAACAGTCAACATCATTTTCAATGGAGAAAGACTAAAAACATGTTTCTTCTGAACAGGGACCAGCCAATGATGCTCATTATCACCACTCCTATTCAACATTTTATTAGAGTTTCTTACCAGGACAAGAATACAAAAGAAGGAAATAAAAGGCATCCAGATTGGCAAAGAGATAGTTAAACTGTCACTATATGAAGATGATAAAATAGTGTATTTAGAAAGCCACTAGAAGACTTAACAAAAAGCCAACCAACCAAGCAAAAATGGTTAGAGCTAGTCTACAAGTTTACTTGGGTGGCTGGATACAAGATCAATATCCCAAAGTCAGTGGGATTCATCTATAGTAAAAAGAGAACTCAGAGAAGGATACCAAGAAAGCAATAAATACCATTTACAGTAGCCAACCACAAATTGAGACACTTGGGAATGAATCTAACTAGAAGAATCTAACAGAAAACCTGTATAAAGAAAACTAAAGAACATTTCTGTGAGACACAATAAAAGGCCTAAACAGGGGGGGATGGAAAAAGTTTCTCTTTTCATTGTTGGAAGATTCAATATAGTGAAAATGACAATTCAACCAAAAGAAATCTACATGTCCAAAGCAATTCCAATGCAGATACCAAATCAGTTATTCAGAAAGATCAAAAGGGAATTTGACAAGTTGGAAAAGAAAGAGACCCCAAATAAACAAAGCATAAATATAAGAAAAACAAAAATAAACTGGTAGGTTTAGCACTCTGTGACCTCAAAACCTACTACTCATTGGTAATAACCAAAACAGCTTTGTACTGATATAATGACAGGCACAATGACCAATAGAACAGAATCAAGAATCTAGAAATGGACCCATATATCTATGTTCAACTGATATTTGACAAAAAAACCCTATCAAATAGGGAAACAACTTCTTCGAAAAACAGTGCTGGCAAATTTGGACTGCTACCAGCATAAAGCTGAAACAGGATCCATCCACATCTCACACCATAAGCAAAAATCAACTCAAGGTGGATTAGAGACCTGGAAATAAAGCCCCAAACCATAAAGTTCATAAGAGATAAACTTAAACCAAGTTTAGAAGGTCTATTCTATGCTATAAAGAGACTGACAAATGAAGCCCAAAATGCACAATCTGTAAAGGATGAAATTGATGAACGGGACCTTCTAAAGATTAAAACCCTGTTCATATAAAACACTTTTCCAATAGGATGAAGGGAAAACCTACCAACTGGGAGGGGGAGGGGGAAAACAAAAACCAAACCCATTTGGACCTATTATTTCAGATGAGGTTCTCATAAGAAAAGTTTACAGAATCTTGCACGGATAGCAAAAAACTGATAACCAAAACTGATAACCAAATTACAAAATGGGGGTGGGGGAAGACATGGAAAGACTTTTCACAGAGGAAGACATTTGGATGGCCAACAGATACATGAAGAAATGCTAAAAATTCACTGACAATAAGAGAGATGGAAATCAAAACCATAATAAGATACCATCTCACCTCAGTAGCAGTGGTAAAGTTTAACAGGGTCATAAGCAATACATGTTAGAGATAAGGTGGGGAGGTGAGAAATCTCAGACATTATTGGTGGGATTGTAAAATGGTATGACCACTCAGGAAGACATTTTGGCATTTTTCTGAAAAAAAATTAGCATAGACACTCCGTATGACCCTGCTCTTACAGTACTAGGAAAATACTCCAGGGAAATCAGAACTGATACACAAATGGAAATTTGTACACCAATGATCATAACAGTGTTATTCACCATTGCAAGAACATGGAAACAGCCAGATGTCCAAACACAACTGAACGTATTGAGAAATTGTGCAATCATAGAATACTACACAACACTCAGGAGCAATGATATAGAAAAATACCACTTAACTTGGGAGAGACAGGAAAACATTTTGCTGAGTGAACTAACTCCCACAGAACAAAAACTACATGAGACCAATATTGTAAAAATGGAAGGATAACTAGTAAAACATATATTGGGACCAAGGGGGGAAGGCTCAGAGCAAAGGAGTGAAGATAGGTAGTGACAAAATGACAAAGTTGCACAATTTTGTGGATGAAGGGAGGTGGGTAAAGGAAATGGTAAAAGATTTGGTGGGGACCTGAAAAGACTGGACAATAATGGGCATAGTCCAATGGTAATTAATGATATAAAACACAATGTATAGGTATGATTGTAAAACACAGTGCAAATGAAGAATAGGGTGAAACAGTGTATATGAACTTTGTAAGCAAACTAATGTAAAATAAAAATTAAAAATTGAAAACAGTACAAAATGTTGATATGCTATAGCAATGAAAGTTAGCTAAGAGCATAGTTCCCTTATTATGTCCTATTCTAGGTTTGATATTATGTTAGAATTTACATTTTATTAGCTATTACAATTTACAGGAACTGTTGTGAACATTGCACTGCTTACCAACAGGTGGAGTCTCTTTGGTGCTTCAAATCCATAAATGACTCTGTGGGAGGAAGGTGATATCTTTTTCTCCCATTTAATTTTGACTCTCCTGAAAACCTGCTTGATAGTCATCTATGAGTATTACTCCAGGAAAACATATTTTTAATTATGTTTTACCTGAGGGCAAAGATCTTGGATATTAAACTAAAGGTCAGCAATTCAAGCCCACAAGCCATGGGAAAATAATATTCACAACCTTGAAAATTCTATAGGGAAAATTTTACCTTATCTTATCAGAGAAGGCATTGTAAGTTAAAAGTCAAATGGGGGGATTGTATACCAATGAAGGAGTTTTTCTTTTGCTTTTAAAAAAGAGCAAACTGGGGTTGGGATGGGGAGGGCAGGGCGAAAGTGCAACAATGAATGAATGGAAATCCACAATCTCTGTAAATGTTCATTGAAATTAAATAATAATAATAATAATAAAGTCAAATGGGTGGTTATGAATTTAGTTTAGAATTTGGTTACAATCTAATGATGCTGATCTTTGGTTATTTTATTTGTTTCTTTTATGAAATTTGAGGGTATGTTAGATACAAATTTTTGTCCTTGTTTAACAAATGTCTTGTTCGACGCTATCTTGATAGTATGTGGAGCACATCTTCAGTGTAATATCAATGTTCTACTGTGATCTATAGAATTTTAATTGGGTAATTTTTGGAAGTAGATTCCAAACCCTTTCTTTCTAGTCTGTTTTAGCCTGCAAAGTCCACTGAAACCTATTTACTCTGTGTGAGCAAATTCATATTCACTTTCCTTGAATTTAAAAATACTGGTAGAATAAATTTTCACACATATATACTTGCTTTGACAAATCAACTTTCTGTAGCAAGTAACAATCATCAGCTTTGGCTTCTTTTATTAAAATAGAATTATAATAGATACATAAGCTATTGAAGCATTTAGTTGTATATGAAAACAAATTAATCTTGGTATGCTTTCAAAAGTTCTCTTTCATTTTCATAGTTTTAACTGTCCTAAGCAGAATAATTTCTTCTCTTTTTAAGGAAGTGGAAACATGACGCCCCAAATTTTAATTTTGTTTTTTAATATTCATTATCTTTAGGTCTTATTAACTAACCAGATTTTGTACCAATGCATGTATCACTAAGCTAATGAATTTAAATAGGTTGTGTCTTTATGCAATATATAGTTTATAAATAAGCATTATTGGTTTGAACATTATATTAATAAACCATTATGAGAATAATACCCTCCAAAATTTAAGGCATGAGTTTATTTGCTCATTTAATTATCTATGTATTTGTATTTATGAGTGTACTTGTGTGTTTTACAGCTGTTATTTCAAGGAACCAAGAAGGACCTGGAGAAATGGGAAAGGCTGTGCTGATTCCTAAGGATGACCAGGAGAAAATGAAAGAGTTATTTAAAATCAATCAGTTTAATCTTATGGCCAGTGATTTGATTGCCCTGAACAGAAGTCTGCCAGATGTAAGATTGGAAGGGTGAGTTTTCAACTGTTAAATAATTTTATTTTTGCATCTTTGAAAATCCCATAATTATATATATTTTCAAATTTTAACTAACACCTTATTTCCATTGTACAAATACATCATACTGAATATGTATGGCATTGCAGAAATTTACTGTACATAAAGATACTGGGAGGTATGGACTATTTTCTTCTCTTACAGAGTAAAGTGTATTCTGTGCAAATACATTACAAAATTTACAGATCTGGCAAAGGTTTTTGAACTAAAGTTTCCTGAGCTACTTTTGTTTTGTGTTGCCTTATCTTGCCAGGAGCAGAGCATATATGTTCTTTGATAGATTATTTATTTGCCTTCATAGAAAGCTTTGTAATATTTGCTTTGAAAGTCTATATAATTTGCTATTTCAGTGTGAAAATCACTGATTGCTTTTATCATTTGTTGACTGTATAGAAATATGTTATTGACCTCAACAATTTGTGCAACTGTTTATAATTAGAAAGTGCAGTTATTACATATGAAGGAAATATTCACGCAGAAATAATAATTCATAAAAAATTAAGTTGAGAATTTAAAGTTGTGTGTGATTAACTGTAAACTGCTCTAGATTATGACTATATCTTAAATGCATGAAGTAAAAATTAGCATATTTAGTGGCAGAATGCTATCATGGTTTACAATCTGGACTCAGCAAACTTTTAGCCTTCAAAAAGATAGCTTGAAGTTGTAGAAAATACTGCATTTTTAAAAATACCTCAGTATATACTTTCATACAAATTGAAGTTAACTCTTGTAGACAATGTTTTCTTTAAATGAATGCTGATGCTTTTAAGGTACTATATCACATCACTTCTATAGTGATATTAATATTATACTTACTAAATATTTTTCATTTTTAATTCAAGTAAGAATAAAAATGAGAGTAACCAAATTTTTTAAAAAATGCTTTGGCCCAAAAGGTTCCTTCAGTAGCTACATACACAATACGTGTAAGCTTATGAAATGTCTTTTAAGCTTATGAAATGTCTTTGCCATCAAAATCACAGATAATATGTGTTCAAGAAGGTGCTGCCAGAGTGCTTCTTGGAAGCAAGGATCCAAAGTGTCATCTCACACACTTTGGGCATGTTTCTATGAGAGACTATTTCTACAAAGGATGTATCATGGTTTGAAAGGTCAGAAAAAGAGAGGAAGCCCCTCAACAAAATGGATTGACACAGCAGTGAACTCAAGTCTATCAGAGATGTTGAGAATGGTACGGATAATACAGGGTTCAGAGCTGTTGTTCAAAGGGTCGCTGTAAGTTACACTTGTCTCTGTGACAACTAAGAACAATAATGGCCATTTTAGTTCTCGGCAAATGGTCATAACATAAAATTCTAAATTCGAGTATTCCAAGGCCCTAATACAATTTTATTTACATATATATATAAAGTTTCTTGCATATATATAGAAACATGTATATATCTATATATGCTACAGACTTTTTTTAGTATTTTAAATACTAACTTCTATAATTGTGTAATGTTATATTTATTAGGTAAAATATCAAGGTATAACAATTGAAGTTTATATCATAGTTATACATTCATAAAAACTATGTAAACACTGTTGAAATCCAACAGCTATTCCACAGGAAAAGGATAGGCAGTCTCCTTCTGTGTGATTGACTTTCTCTGACAAATCATTGCAGGGTCAGTTATGAGTTGATTCTAACTCAAAGCAATTCTAGTAATGACAAATCTGAAACATGACCTATCTTATACCGTCCGTATGAGCTCTCATATTCTCAAGCCCATCATTATAATCACTGTATCAATAAATCTTGCTGAGGGCTTTCCTTTCTTTTTCTGCCAGAGTGCTTCTTGGCACTCTAAGTTTTCCCCAGCACAATTTCTTTTCCATGGACTGTCCCCTTCTGACAATATGCTCCAAATATTTGACACGAAGTTTCACCATTCTTAACTCTAATGAGCACCCTGGTTGCACTTCCTCCACATCAGGTTTGTTTATTCTTTTGACAGCTCAGGGGATATTCTGTATCAGTCTCAAACACTGCAGTTCAAAGGCATCAATTCTTCTTCTGTCATCCTTATTCATTGCTGTACTTTAAGAAGCACAGAAAATTGATTACATATATATGTATATGTAGGGAGCTCTGGTGGCCCAGTGGCAAGAAGCTGCACTGCAATCCTGAAGGCACGCAGTTCAAGGCCACTGCATTCGAGCTGCTCAGCAGGAGAAGGATGGGTAGTCTTCTCCTGTGTGATTAACTGCCTCTGAAAACTCGGTGGATGGTCAGCTATGGGTCGATTCCAACTCAAAGGTAAACAGCAATATGTATATAATTATGTATGTACATATAGATGCACATATATAATTAAATACATACACATTTGAATTATTGAATGATATCTATTAAAATTACTCATATATGTTGAGTACTGTCGAGTTGGAATCAACTCACAGCTAACCTTTCAAAGTGTTTTCAGAGGCAATAATTGCAAGGAGGATATGTTTGAATGCCTTGGGTATACTTTGTTATTATTTTAATAATGTGATTTCCATTTATTAACTCACAGACCTGTGACATATTTACTGTGTTCATAGAACATACTGTATTAGAAGTTAATATCTAACCCAACAAGAGGTAGTATCTGTAGTTAAAATGATTGGCAGCTATGAAATTTGTCTTTCAATGTGGCTTTTCTAGCATGAATGACCGATTATGTGGATGTGTAGGACTATGCATTTGGGAAATGTTGGCTTATCCACAAAGGTATTGGCTGTCCACCATTCCACAAGAAGATTGGCTAATCTCAGCCATCTACAAGAAGATTGAGTAGCCTTGGCAATAAATTGGACAGCTCTAGCTACAGAACTGGAATCCTCCCCATCCAGAGAAAAGGCGGCAGGAAAATGTAGGACCCACTTCAGGGTGGTAGCAGCAGCCATGGCTGAACTGGAGAATTGATATGAAATAGAACTTTGGAAGGAGGGAAAGCCAATATTGTCAGGACTGAGAACTCAGGAACTCCACAAGGCTCAAGGCTGAGGTGCCTGCATGCACATTATGGGAGCTGTTTTCATGTGTGTCCCATTTTTAATTTGAATTAAAACCTTTTGACTTCCTCAATATGGTTCTGTGTGGTCTGTGAAGTATGACATTGGATTTTGGACCCACCAAACAGTAAGATTGGTGTAGATATGAGTAGAAAGAGATTTGGAAATACGGGGGCATGTCTGACCTCATGGGAATTGGGTTTGTGTTATTGATGCTGTGGATGGGGACATTTTCTTCCTGTGAAGTGGGTAAAGGTCAGATATGGCGATGCCTTGTGGCTCTTGCTCTTTTTTGTAGCAGCTATCTTGGCAGTAAGAGATTTTAACTCAAAACTGCTTCATAGGGGAAAGATGTGGTAGTTTGCTTCTATAAAGAACATTGGAAGCCCTATGAATCAATTCTACCCTAATCTGTAGGACTCTATAAGTTAATAATTGACTCAAGAGCAGTGAATTTGGTTTGATTAGAATGTCTAGATTTGTTGTTCAGTGCCATTGAGTTGAATCTGATTCATAGTTACTCTAGTAACCAACAAAGCTTATCCCTCCTAATCTAGTGCCATTCTCGTAATTCTGCTTTGCTTACACCCATTCTTCTCCTAACTATGTCAGTTCCGCTGCTTTTTGGCTGATTCAGTACTTTTCTAAGCATGTTTTCTTTCTCCAGGGATTGACCTTTTATGATAAAATTCCCAAAGTGTATGTGTGTTTTTGTGTAATTTTTTAAAGCAGTAATTAAATTTTTATATTACGTTATATAGTTTTTTAAATGTCTAGATATATGAAAAATTTTATTAAATGGTATTCTTGTGTATAACAAGTGAAAATCAAATTTTGCAATGACATCTTGATAGCAGAAGATAAGCCTTTCCTGTAGGTTTTGGTGATAGTATGCTCATGAACATTTTTAAGTGCAGGTACGTGACTATTTATAAAGGAACAAACAGAAATAAACAAAACAAAACAAAACAAAAACCAAATGTGGAGAAAGATTTTCAAACAATTGAGTAAGAATATCTACACCTGTGTTAAACAAAGACATAGACTTTTGATCTGACTTCTTGAAAGTTTATTTTTTTATCTCGGGGAATTATGATGAATTTTCTAAGCCCTAGTTTAAGGAGTTATAGGAAGCTCTGGTGGCCTACTGGCAAGAAGTTGTGGTGCAATCCTGAATTCTCACAATTAAAATCCACCAGCTGCTCTGAGAGAAAAGGGTAGGCAATATCCTCTCCTGTGATTAACTGCCTCTGAAAATCCACTGCAGAGTCAGCTATGGGTAGGTTCTGACTCAACGGTATATAATAACAGCAGCAGTGACTGGGGTAAAGTGTTCTGCTGTTAATCCAAAGTAATGTAGTTCAAATCGAGCTGATCTACAAGAGAAAGATGGGTAATGTCCTGTGCAATTTACCGTCTCTGAAATCCTGCTTGAGGATCAGCTTTGAGTCAGTTCTGACTCCAAGGTATACAACAACAGTCTTCTTTTAGGGATCTCAGTTGGCCTAAATTGTAGTGAATTTTGGTGTCAAAGTAAAGGCAGATCATTCAAATTCACTATCTGCTCAATGAGTGGAAGATGGGCAGACTCTGACTCTCTGCTCCTCATTGATCAACAGATAGCCCTCTTTTCTCATGCAGCCTCTGACACATCCCTGAGATATGATGGTGAAGGTTGGAGTAAACAGATTTGGCCACATGGGGTGCCTGGTCACCAGAGCTGTTTTTAACTTGCAGAGTAGATGTTGTTGCTATCAGTGATCCCTTCATTGATCTCAACTATATAATCTATATGTTTCTGTATAATTCCACCCATAGCAAGTTCATTGGCACTGTCAAGGCTGAGAAGAGGAAGCTGGTCATCAGTGGGAAAGCTGTCATTATCTTCAAGGAGCGAGATTTCACCAACATCAAGTAGGGTGGTGCTAGTGCTGAGCATGTTGCTAGTCATT